GCAGTGCAGTAGCTGCTAGTGCAGTTCATCCAGGCGTGCACGTGGCACATCAATTGGGGCGGTCGACTCAAAAAGAGTGGCCCTTCCAACCATAGCCTCCATTGGCAATTTCATTTAAACAATTAAAGCAACATAAATTAAAAATGTGGTCACAACCAAAAGCGACAAATTGCATGTGCACCCATGTCGTATACGTAACTAGAGCCACACTTTACCACGCACCCCACCCCCATATGTATGTACATATACAATGAATGTTATGTGTGCGTGTATGTATGTTTAATATATGTGTGCTGTATATTTTGACCACATTCAATAGCATCCTGTGACACGCCCGCCCGCCATCAATTGCTATTAATTCAAGCATATTAATTCGTACTCGAATCTACATACATTCGCGTTTTGCCACTGTTTTTGTATGGCACCGCAGCGTGGGCGACGGCATGTCACAGCTTCGCTTATTGTTAATCAATTACAATATGCGGGGAAGAGCATTACATAAAAAGCTGGCACTCCGTGAACAGATACGATAGATTATGTGCCATGAGAGCACTGCCCACAGACGTAATGAAAGGATTTCCGAAGCTCCAGTCAAACCTGTTAATGTTCCAATCGAACAACTTTATACTCTAGCGTATACTAATTAAATAATTACTATAAGAATACAATTACCTCCTTCAAAAGATTATTTTATAACTTTTTTGTTTAATTTTTAAAAATTATTTGTAATACTTTTGGTGAACAGATTACCATGTAAATTCGTCTAACAAACAGTCACTAGAATCACTAGGTCACTAGAGTCACTAGGACTGCTGGTGATAGGTGGGATGGGATTAGTCCCGCCGTGGCCGGGAGCCGTCGCTGCCATAGTATTGGGCATGCCCAGGATGTCAGCTGGTGACCATCCATTTGCATGAATGGCATGGATGGAGTAGTCTCTGTCCGACAGTTGTTTCTTAGGTCCTGCGGCAGTGCGGGGAACAGGGTATCGGCTGTGTTACTTCCACCCAAGGCGTTCTAGCCAGCTCGCGCGCGCCCTCCAGCAAAGCCAGAATTTGAAATTTTTGCCTACTTTCATACATATAAATATTTTTTTGTTTTCCAACACTGATTTGGTCTTTCAATTCAAAAACTCGTTGTTGAGTAGGTTCGCGCGTTCGAGGAACGACGCGTTTGCGGTATTCCGACAGCACGGGCACTCTAACTGCAGCCACAGCTGTTTCTGTGTTATTTAACGTGTTTTATTTATTTTATAGTGGGCAAAACGTAGTGTTACGTTTAATTAAAAACGAAATAGGGACACATAAAGTTGCACAAAATGTTCTCGCTTCGTGCAGCGCTGCCCCGTGGCAAAAATTTTGCTGTGGCCTTTGGAAATGCTGCACGCCACATTCCCCTTGCGCCGAGCTGCAGGTTCGGCGGATCCGCGTGGACAGCAGTGCCGCTCCAGCAAGAGAAACAATATAAGCAACAGAATCTACAGTGCAGACGGCTGGCGGATCAGGCTGCCGGAAAGGGCGCTGAGACCGAACTGCAGCGAGTCTACTACGGCACGCTGGCTCCCCGCATGAAATTGGTCAAGTTCTTCTCGCTGAGCACAAGCCTAGCCGGCATTGCCGCACAGCCCATTCTGCTGGAGCAGGGCATGAAGATTGGCGGCACCGGCATGGCTGTGTTCCTCTGCACCATTGGCGGCTTCTTCACGTTCGTGACGCCGCTGCTGCTGCATTTTATCACGAAGAAATATGTTACCGAGCTGCATTACAACCCCGCTACCGAGGAGTATACCGCCACAACGATTTCGCTCCTGCTGCAAAAAATCAAGGTGAGTTGATCCCATTGTAAGGGTGGGGTCTCTAAGTGCTCAAAGTCGTAATTTCTCCCATTGCAGACGAAATTCCGGCCCGGCGACGTGACTGTACCTGAAGTGCCTGGCATGTTCACCTCGTTTCTGGTCAACAAGCGGCCTCTATTCATTGACCCGGCACTGTTCGAGGATCCCGAGCACTATGTGCGGATCATGGGCTACGACAAGCCCATCGACTTTAAGCTGGATCAGAGTCCCGGCTCCGAGAAGCAGACGAAGAGCCAAAAACAGTAATAAAACCGATTATCCTTTTATAGTTTTATTACAGATTTGAGAAAAAACGAAAAAAAAAAAAATGCTTCAGTGCGTGGCAGGTATATACTGCGAAATTCTAAAAAAAAAGTATTTAAAAAAAATGTGTTATAAAAAATATGTTAATGAGTAGAACATCAGGACATCTCAGTAGTAACGAATACCGAACAAGAATGCCATATCGTCTGGAGTCATGCAATTGCGATCGCGGCACTTGATGAGCTTGCGAATAATGCGGCTAAAAATTCTCCGATAGTCGGACTTTTGGCTTTTGGATACCGTTTCGAAGAGATTCAATCCCGGCACCAAGTAAAATGGCAACCGGTTTTCAAAAAGGCTCCAAATCATACGTACGGTCATCTGTGTGAGGAAAGAGATCTAGCAAAGCCACCACCAATAATATGCTTGTTCTAAACACTTACACGAATAAGTATTTGTCCGGGAGATTGGTTCCATGTGATATACTTCCATTCGGCGCAGTTCAGAAAAATGCTCTTGATCATGTAGCTGACCAGAGAATTCATATGATGGGCACTGCGAATGGCCTTCATCAGGCGCATAGTGTTCTTCAGATTGTTCTTTTTTTCCAACTCCATGCGCTCCCAGTACGGAGCGCAGACGGTGAAGGTCAGTGGATCCTTCCGAGCATTCCTGTCACGGATGCTACGAGGAACAGCGAACCAGGTGCGATTATTGTGTTGATGGTTGGGCAATTCCTGGGGCCATTCGCTGGCTAGGAATTCAAACGCTGGCACAAAGTCAAAGTAGATTTTGCGCTTGCGATCGCCGCGACAGGTTGCCATTATGGTGTGAGCCACGCCGTAGCCGAGGGCAATGTACTTCAGGGCATACACGCGGCCATTCTGGCAGCGAATGTGCTGCAACTCTTGCATTACCGCGCATATGTTCTGGCGGAACCAGGCCTGCAGCTTATCGCGACTAATGTAGTCGAAGCCCGAACGCCGATCGACCAGGTGGGTGGGTGCGTTTCTGCCACTGACGCGTAGATGTACATAGCCTGGGTGGCCTGTCTTGGGGACTGGCTGCAAGGTGCAGTTCAGATCCATTTTGGTTAACAAGTCAAATTCATCTGGCAAATCAATTTTTGATCCATCCAGATTGCTGCCAGTCAACGAAAGGCCTCTGAAAGCGTGTCTAAAAGCGAGATCGCGGCCTGAAATGGCACGAATAAATACATTCTGGATTGTTTCGGCGTCTTTATTGAAGCTTTGACGCTGCGAAGACTGAATTGAAATGTTCTTAAGAACAAATTCGATGCCCTCGCCAAAAGTTAAATCGTTTGAGTCCATTGCGAAAGAAAAAATTAATGCCGCCGTTTTCGTGGGAAGAACGCAATTACAAAAATGTTTATCGAAGCCACTGAAAAGCTATCACTCGGCGCTGAGCTTTGCAACACTGTTTTGCAGTATTTTTTAAGTTGCGTTTTGAACTCACCCTTTGGCCAATGCACCAATGTATAAATATTTATTCAATAAATTCAATAATTCAAGTCAATATAAATATATAAATAAAATAAAATGTAACTTTAATTCCTCAGTATATTTACGGTATATTTTTTAAATGAGACGGTATATCTTAACGATTAAGCCGCGGTCACACTGATTCAATTGTAAACATATGGACGATCTTAAAATAATATTAGAATTCAGGTAATACTTATCTTCTGGTGGTCTTTGACACTTCATGCCAACAACCCACATTCCCTTAGCGCCGGAGCGGAGCTACTATTTGGCAACATCAAGCGCCGGCAGCTCTTCCTGGACGGCCATAAAAAATGTCAGTATGCTGCATCTTGGATGCGGAGCAAGTGTGTCCTAAAGTGCGGTTCTTTGTTCCAGGGACCATTGCCAATCTGCTGAAGTGGATGCATGCCAACATATTAACGGAGCGGCCGGAACTCTTCCTGCAAGGTGACACGGTGTAAGTGGCGAGGGCTATGCCAGCGAATATCTCCTAATGGATTCTAATGGATTGTCTTGTACTCTGTTTAGGCGACCCGGCATTTTGGTTCTGATAAACGACACTGACTGGGAGCTACTGGTGAGCTATAGCCATTACTTGGTGTGACCCGGTATTAAGAAATTGCATTTTCAGGGCGAACTGGACTACGAGCTGCAAGCAAACGACAATGTGCTCTTTATATCGACGCTGCACGGCGGCTAGCAGACTTCGGTCTCATTTCAGTTGTTTTTTATATAAGCCAAAAGTTTATTTTTTTAAATGCAAGCTTTATAAATAAAAAAAAAAGAATCAAACTTAAATCAGAATTACGTCCCCTTTACCAAAATTGGCAAAGGCCCACACGATGGTTCGGGGTAGTAAAGTCTTCTTCATCTCAAGTTCGTTAAAACTCGCCGCTCGCATATTTATATGCGAAAGCCCGAAAAAAAACACTTGGGAATTCTAAGGCAGAGCGCGGAGGAAAGAATTTGCTTGGGAAGGAAATTTGATGCAATTGTTTTACATTTCAAGCAACGTTTATTGAATTTAAGTTTTTGCTTATTGCATATAGTTATTTATAAGATAGATCTATGAATATTTTTTCGTTTAATATATTCTAATGGTAGGCACTTAGTTTTACATTACATACTAACTGTACGTAATGAAGTTCGTCGATCTCGATATGTAGGGGGGATGGGGGCAGTCGGTACTCCACGCCCATGGCTCCGCCTCCGCTCCGCTCCGCTCCCCTGATCTGTTTCTGTTCTGTCTCTGTTTTGTGAATGTGTGCAACTTTTCGATTGTGTGGGGCGGATACCTAGAGCTATGAAATATGTATTTCGACATTGACACATTGAATTCAATAATTTCAATTAGTTTCCGAAACGAGAATAATGAATGCACCCAGAGGCAAATCAAATGCGGAATAGGGATTAATTATGACAAATTAACACAACTAAAATGTATAATGTAATAAATAATAAATAACATAAAAAAAAAATGAAGTAAAAATTATAATGATTATGGTAACTCGTATCGTATCGTATCGTATCGTATCGTATATTATAACTGGATCCGATGAAACCGTTCCGTTCTTCTGCTAAAGCTATAAATCGTTCTTCTGTATACCTAGGGCCTGGCCTGGCCGAGAACCTATTTACTGCTCTCCGGGGCAGCGGATTCGGCCGCATGCGCATACGACTTGTAGCGCCGCAGGATCACCGTCGAGGCGCTCGCAGTGGATGCCGTTGCCGATGCGGTGGATGTGGACCAGCTGCCCCTGTTGCCTGTGCCGGCCAACTGCTCGGCCGCGTGCTCCTGGTCCGGTGTGCCGCACATGTCTGAGACAATGCCGCTCTCTGGATGGGGGATACGGGGAAAGTGTGAGAACATGTTGGATCATTCAGTCGAAAGGGTCGAGACGTGTGGGCGGGGGGGGAGACACAAACAACATGCAGCGCGGAGAGTGGTGGTCGGGATGCGGAATACACAGATTACGTGTTAGGTTTGGTGTGGTGTGGTGTGTGGGGATTATATACAGTTTTGTTTCTAGTAATACTGAAGGACTTCTAGTTATATACAGGGGCCAACAAAAACAACAACAACTAAAAGCAACAGGATGCGCTTAGAAGAAATAGCACAATTCAAGCTCAATACCCATGGACAGCTGGCTGACGATTGTCGTCGATCGCTTGGGATGACGTTTGCTTCCGTGTCCGTGCTGTTCGTTGCCCGACGAGCTGTTTCTGCCTTCGGAGGCAGGCTCTTGGCTCTTGTGACTGCCACTGCCGCTGCCGCTGCCACTGCCACTGCCACTGCCACAGCCCTTGCTCAGCTTTAGGGCCTGCGTCTCATTGATCAGTTCCAGTGTGGCATTACTGTGGCTGCTGCTGCTGTTGTGGCTGCCTGGCAGTTTGCCAAAGTGCAGGCTGTGCCGGCCGCTCTCGTGCGCCCCATGGCCCGACGAGGATCCGCCGCTGATAGAGGAGCCACTGGTGGTGCTAGTGCCGCTGGACAGGGAGCTCTCCGATATCAGCGAGTTAGGACGCCGCATGCTGCCCTTGCCGAGCTCCGAGTGACGCAACTTCGGTGCTGCGTAGAAAACGGATTACCAATCGATCCCGCATTGAGGCATGCTCCTGCTACTCACTTTTGTTTAGCTGTGTCAGGGGTATGGACCGATCGCTGATCTGGTTGTTGCTCGGACGTATGTCCAGGCAGGGCTTGCTGCCAATGCCCATCGAAGACATCTCCGCCAGACGAATTTCTGTGAGAAAGAAAATGTTAGATATGCCAGGACTGGACGTGGGGTTCGTGGCTGATGCCCACCTCTGTTTCGTTTCGCCTGCTTCCAGAGCAGCTTGGAGATCTCCTCGGTCCAGGCGTTCTTGATGTCCTCCGACATGCACTGCAGCATATAGGTGTCGTCCGGCTTTCGCTTCCGGAACCAGATCTCGAACTTGGTCGCCGAATCGCCCGTGTGCGCCGTCAGGCCAATATCCGAAGTCTTGATGCTGTTCTTGTAAATGTAGATGTCCAGATTCTGGAAGCAAAACATATCCATTGAATGAAGAGGTTGCTTCCTGGAGATTAGGCCGCATTTACTCACCTTGTGGTCTGGGAAGCGGCGCGCCTTGCTGAAAAGCACCAGCTCCTCGAAGAGGAACACCTGGCGTAGCGTCTTCTTGCCACCGCGTCCCTGCCAGACGAGAAACTCATTCTGGCGCAGCAGGCGGCCCTGCTCCTTGACGTTCACGTCACAGTCCCGCAGCGAGTCCATGGCCAGCAGATCGTTGCCGTGGCGCAGCTGGAACTTGACCATCTCCTCGGCACGCTGCAGCTCCTCGACGTCGGCGGCGATCTCCTGCAGAGCCGCGCCCTCCACACTCCGGCAGGCCTTCACCAGCTGCTGCAGAAGCAGCGCGTACTTGCCCATGCGCTGCACCGGCTTCAGAAGGTACGAGGCCAAGTCCAGCTTGTCCTGCAGTTGGAGCTGCTTGGGCTTGAAGAAGGAGCTGCCGTACTCGCTCAGCAGCGTGTCGCTCTTGGGCTTGTTCTTGTTGTACAGTGCGTACAGGTAGAACTTGGACTCCATCTCCAGGAAGGCGGCGCCCACCTTTAGCGGATTACGCTCGTACCGCTCCAGCTCGCCCAGGAAATGCGAGTTGTGGAACTCGAAGATCTTCTCGATGTTGCCGAAGATCACGTTCCGCTGGCCACGCAGCGGCTGCGGTATGTCCTCGCGCAGCAGCTCGTCAATGTAGTTCTCGATCACGTAGTACAGGGAGCGCACGTAGTCGCGTTCGGTACCAATCATTTCGCGCATGATCAATAGAAGCGTTCTGCGCAGAGGAGGATGAGGATGAGGAGGAGGAAGAGATATGCGAGAGATCAGTGACAGCTCTAAAATGGATAAAGAGTTTCTTTCCTACTTTTGTATTTTGGGGTCCAGGCAGCTGAGCTCCTCCAGCTTGGGCAGTTCCAGACTGGAGCCATGGCACTGCAGATGGGCGTTCGCCTCCATGGGCGAGTGCATGTCCATGTAGCGCTTCGAAGGTCGCTCAAAGCACTCATCCTCGAGCAGCTCGTCGTGACTGAAAAAGGAGTCCAGGGATGAGCAAGCGTACGGGGTATAGACCCTCTAGCACTCACCTCTTCTCGTTGAGACTCTGGCAGGAGCAGATGCGTGCCAGCTTCGGATTGCGCTCGCAATTGTCGCAGACGCCCACTCCGGAGTCGGCAATCTTCGACTGCTGCTCCTCGCCATCGCCATCGGCGTCATTATCGCAATCGTTGTCCTGCTCCTCCTCGTCCGGCTCGTCCATGTCCTCCAGGTGGCGGCTCTCGCGCCAACAGCTGCAGTTGCCGCCCGGCATGCCCTCAAAGGAGCTGCCGCTTCCCGAACTGCAGCGATAGCTTCCGCGCTTGCCACCCGACGGCGCCGGCGTGCTGCTGGCCGCAGGCAGAGTGTTGCTCTTCCTCATGGCCGGCCAGTGCTTCTCCAGCAGGGGCGTGGCGCCCAACTGCTCGGCCAGGCGCTGCAGCTCCTCGTGGGCGGCCACCTCGCGCTGGTGCTGGGTGAGCAGGTGCAGCAGTCGGGCGGCTGCCTCGAACCGCTCGTGCGTGAGCTCCAACTTCTGGGCGAACTGATCCAAAGCTGTCTTCAGGCTGGCGGCGCTCTCGCTGAGAACCGACACCTTAATGGCCGCCGCATGCAGGTCGCGTCCCTTGGCCAGATGTTTCTGTGGAATGAGGCGTGATAGGATGGGCGTCAGTCTCTCGGCATTTTCTGCCACCATTCTCCTGCCACTCACCATCGCTATGAAGTAGTACTTCTCGAACTCCTGCTCCTGGGCCTTCAGTTGGGTCTCGTTCTCCCACTGGAGCTGTGAAAACTTTTGCAGATTCTCCGCTCCGTCGCTGTTCAGCCAGGAGGTGACCTTAAAATGGACGATTAAACGAGATTTGGATCAGTGGGTAAAGCCTTCAACTTCAACATGTCGTCCATGCCAAAGTCAACGCCAACGCCAACGCTAGGCCAAGGTTCCCCTCTTCCCTCCTCTCCCCACCCATCTCGATACCCAATCCCTGATACCCAATCCCCCAATTCCAGAGAGATGAAAAGTGAAACTCATCGAAATGATCGACGAGACGCTCTAATTAGCCTCCACTTTACAAATTAAAATCCAATCGAACACAAATCAAATAAAACGACTCAACTATGGGTATTTTAAGGCCGGCCTCCCAAAGGTATTGAAAACGACAGACCCCCAGCCCCAAGCCCCCACCAACAAAGGCCCATCCACGGGTAGAGACGGAGACGGAGACGGAGACAACAACAGCCACGGGGCAATGGCAATCGACGATCTCACATTGATAATTTTGTAGCTTTAACCAATTTTTAATCACCTGCTGCGTCCAATTGAATTGATACAATCGACGATGCCGATGATGATGATGATGATGATGATGCCACGGAACCACCGAGCTGCTGGGCTGCTGCTGGGTGGGTTACTAACTAACCAGCCTCCAGCCAGAGACAGTTCCAGTCTCAGTCCCAGTTCCAGTCCGAGTCCCAGCTCTGGGTCGACACGCGTGTGCACTGGCGGCGCATTCACTTTCCGTTTTTGGGTTGACTCTGTTTCTGTTTCTGTCGATCTTTGGTTTCCAGATAATGGTACCCCAAACCTCTTTTGGAGTGCGCGTCCTAACCAATGAATGAAAATACGAATACGAGTGCGAGTACGAGTACCAGTACCAGTACGAGTGCGAGTACGAGTGCGAGTAGTGCCTGCTACCAAGTGGGAGTGGGAGCAGAGCGGTAACTGGAGCAGGGGCCGGCCGAACAGCTGCTCCAGTTTCACAGTTGCCGCACAATCATCCGCTGACGGAGACGGAGACTGAGACTGAGATGGAGACGGAGACAGAAGCGAAGACGCGGACTCTTCATGCTCATCAGATATGGCAGGCACGGGTTTTAGAAGCACAAACACACATATAGGAGTACACTCGTCTATGCCACATACAGGGTGATGCAATCAATCGATTTCCCAATAAAAGCACTCGAGTTGATGTCTTAATTGATTTTGTTCTCTAATTAATCTAATTGCCACTCTGAAAGCATTTGTCCATTAAGTCCCAGCACCATGCAGCACTGATAATTGCCTTGTACGAGTACGATCCGATCCCCCAGATATATGGTGCGTTTATGTGTAAACCATTTATAGATCCATCTGCTTTTCTAAAGAATTTTTAGATACTTTTCCAATCAACACATTATCGATATTGACCTGGTGAAAGGTTCCATAATTAGAGATCACTGCAACAGAAACGGGACATCTGATAGATCAGGGCACTGTCACCAGAGATATGTATGGCCTCGAGAGATAGACTTTTGTATGCCCTGCTAGGATAGCCTAGATAGGATCCATCAAAAATAGCTCCATATCATCCCAGAATATATGTTTGGTCTAAGTGCAATAAGGCCTTGTGTTACTCTGTAAGAATCTGTAGTTTTGCTAAATGAATAATTATGGGGATATAGAGAATATATCCTTGAAATAAATTTATTTTTCTGGAACTAATTGTTTCGAATTGAATGGAACAATGGATGGAATACCACCTATTGTACTAGTACTAAAGGAAACAAGCCTAATCGATGATGTCATGGGCAATCTCTGAATGGCACACATCATTCTATCTAACAAACTATAAGCCATTTGATGTATTTTATAGTAACACGAGTGTGTATTAGGAGTGGCCATTGATTTATATATTTTAGTACTGAGTCAACTGTTTAAAAATTGCATAAAAGAAAGCAAAACATAGAACCACACTCCCAATCGATGATTTCATTGGATAAAGCTGGCAAAAACGCAATTGAAACACAGCTGTGACTGGAATACGACACTACTTGGACACGCTTGGGTCCATTGGGGGGTGGGTCCATTGGATCTGCATCACCCTGTATGCAGAGACACAGTGGAGCCGGGTAGGACCGCTCTGGACCGGCTTGCACAAAGTGTTTACATTGAAAAAAATGCTCGGGTTTGGCCTTTTTGGCTTTGAGGCTGAGGCTGAGGCTGCTGCTGCCATTTGAAAGATTGTTTCTCAACGATTGCCGCACACACAGCCAAGGCAGGCCATAAATTAATTAATTGATTTAGTAAAACTCTGCCCCAATGGATTTTCACCGACGGACCGACCGACGGACCGACCGACCGACCGAATGATAAGCCCCAGCCGGCGGAGGGTGGAGCCGTGGAAGGCGTGGGGGCGTTGGGGCTGATCAATGAACTGTGAACTATTAATAGTAGCGTCCTCCGATAGATAGCCAAAGCAATCGTTTGATTTCTCGATTGATTTGATCGATTGATTGAACGCCGGATGACTCACATAGCTGGCTATTTCGTTGGCCAATTTGCTGGCGCTTGGTGCACATTCACTTGCCGGCGCCGACGCTTTTGGAACTGCAGTTGGAGTTGGAGAGGCAATCATGGGGCGATTGTTGCGGATGGAGCCCGATAAGCGCGACCAGATCTGCGGCAACATGCCAGAGACAGTTCAGAATAGTGACTGGAAGTGGAAAAGCTGATGCTTGGCGATTGCTCCCCCTCCATCAATCATCCATCCACACCACACACACGACACACCACACACCAAACACCAAACACCACACACCACACACAGATACAATAAGTCTGTTTGGATGTGTACATATAATGAGGCATTTTCAAATTGAATTTTCCCGTCCCCATCGGCGGCACTCAATGAAATTCAATAAAATCCAAACAATTAGCAAACGTAAACAAAAGCGAATGCATGGATCGGCTCGGAACGGAACGGAACGGATCGGATCGGCACGGCACGAGACGGTCACCAACTGTCGGCTGTATGTGTGTGTGTGTGTGTGTGTATAAACGAAGTTGGAGAGTCGAAGAGTCGGAGAGCGGGAGAGTCGGCGACGCTGATGACGAGATGTCGCCCATATCGTCAGAGTCTTGAATTTGCTTTGTGCTAAGTAAATAGGCAAATGTCATCCGTCTATCTGTCTATCGCTGAACCGCTGCGGCAGGCAATCTCCTCTCCAGGCAATAACTCCAGCAGCTTCTTGTTCGCGCTCTGCCCCGCGATAAGCTCTGCTTGCACTATTATTTCAACGGCGGATGTGGTGCTCTGCTCTGCTGCACCACTGATAAGCGATTGCTGCTGCCGGGTTGACTGCACTCTGCTCTCTGCTCTCTGCTCTCCCTGTCCCTGTCCCTGTCCCTGTCTCTCTCCCACACACTCTCTGCCACTTTGTAGGAGGCGTTTCTTCCTTGGGAGCGTTTCCTGGGAGCTCATTCCGCTGATCTTAGAATCTCTTTCCAGTGTTCTCTGGACGATCGATCGGCCACTTCTTAGGCTTGGCATAAAACGCAAATTTAACGTGACAGTTTTACAAGTTGATCGCATGAGCCATAAAACACATGCAACACCTACAACGGCCACAGCCACAGCCACAGTCGCAGCCACAGCCACAGTCGCAGGCAACGCCTTGGGAGCATGCGTGGCTTCCAGTGGTGGCCAGAGCGGCGTCTGCATTGCAACTCCTGCTTCGGCGGCTTCGGCGGCTGCTGGTGGTTGCTGTCGTGTAATTTACACAAATGTCGCGCATTTATCTCATGGCCATAAACATTTTTTAAGCCACAATATCGAATTTATTTTGACACTTAACAAAGTTGTCGCCGATGTTGAAGTTGTGGTTGTAGTTGTAGTTGTCGGTGTCGCTGTAGCTGTAGCTGAAGCTGTTCTTGTGGCTGATATCATAGACAAAAACAACAACAACAAGAGGTCCGAGTATTGCTATTTGCACATACCCTTTTCTCGAAGGAGTCACTGGGCCATCGTCTTTCAAGAGATCATAGGAGAGTGCCTCTTCTTTAAACACTAAAGGAAGGAGTCACTTCGTTTTGCCTTCGTTTGGGCTTTAAGACCATCGTCTTTCAAGAGATCATAGGAGAGTGCCTCTTCTTTAAACAGCAAACACATGTGTTTTGTATTCTCAAATATATGTGCGTATATCGACCGTTTCTGAATACTTTTATCGTTTCATTATTGTCCCTTCAGCCCCTCTTCGCTTCGACAACGATTTCCGTTCTCCTAGAGATACCATTTAAAAGAATCTTTATCATATGTTTTCCGTTTAAGCCCCCAAGGCAGAACATATGTCAAATGTAATGTCTGATCGTCATTATCGTCTAGATGCTCTTGGTTCCGCCAATCAATAGAATAGAGTATCTTCCATTCGATTAGCCTTGGGCAATATTCATTTGGTATTCCAGGGATTCTGTTTCTGTTTCTGTTTATATTTCTTGTATTGGGTAATTTATTTGGAAGTACATCTTAAATGATATGCTCTCTTGCCATTTGGCTGTCTCATTTCTTGTTGGCTAATTTGTTCTCTATGTTCCGACTGTCGTTCTTTTGGCTCTGGATCGGGCTCTGGCTGGGGTTCTGGTGGTTCTGGCTGGTTCCTTCATGCATATCGGAGGCAGCTTATCTCTGGCTTTTAAGTACTTCTCTTTGGCCGTGTACTTTAACGACTGGGCGTCGTGTGGTTTTGCATTTGGATTTATGGCAGCATGCTGGAAATTATAGCAGCGATAACTGGCTCAGAGATCAGAGAGGATTCGCAGCAATTGAGGAATGCTGTGTGTGTGTGTGTGTGTGTGTTTGTCGGATGTCTGTGCGCCAAGTGAGACATTAAACATGAATGCCGCACATTAATGGACTGGGGACTGCGGACTGCGGACTGGGGACTAGCACTCCTCCCAAGGAGAGAGACGAGGGAGAAAGAACTTCCAATTGAATGATGTTTTTCTCATCCCTGTTTCCCTCGTAAATATGATTTATTTCAATTTTTATAGCTGTCCCAAGTCCAAGCCGACTATAATCCCTT